CGACAAGTATTTCAGTGCGGACCTGTATTTGATCGTGAGGTCTCCTGTGAGGTCTTAAGTCACCTGATTCACGAGCCCGTTGTACTACATTAACAAAGGCACGAGGGGTTGGTTGCACTCGATTGGGAAACCGATCCGCATAAACATGTGCCATTTTTTATTTCGTTTGAGCCACGCAACAGATACCACTATTCACTGACACTGACTGTATACAAATGAATGAAACAATTGCAAAAACATCGTTCCAAATTCTTTCGTTTTTTTGTATCCGATGCGATGAACCGATACGGCGAATTATATCCGTTGTCGCCAAACACGAACACATATATTATTATTGAGACAGGGTGGCACTCAAACTTCCAAAGGGCTATAACATTGTTACTTTAATTTTACCAGAAAAATGGTAAAGGAAAAAAACATTTCTTTTGATCAGATCTACTCACTGTTAAAATAAATGACTCAACTTCGAATTCCACAGATATTCTTACACGATCGATGTTTTCAGGCGTTTGTAGCACACTTTTCTTTGGTCCTTTATTTTTGACATAACAACAATCCATAGCCAAATATGTATAGTTACGGAATAACAATATTATCAAAACTTCCCGCTCCCGGGGACCCACCTTGTATATTAAAGTGTTACCAAATCTCGGATTTTGCGACAGGGTCAGGTTAAAGGGGTATAGAGCTTATACGAAAGTCCTTTGTTTTTCTACTGGACATTGGCAAGGAGGTAGTTTATAGGCAGTAGATGTCAGTTAAGAACGGAGATTGGGACAGTGCCGTATTATGGGGGTTAAGGTGTACTCACGAATTTGTTTCATGAACCTAGTAGATACCTAAAAATGGCAGTGCTCTAAATACGAGCCCCTTCCCACTTCATTTGGCCCACTTCAAGATTTGTACCAAAATATGCATTTATAAACTAAACATGACGAAACTATTTACTTCTAAAACAATTTATTTTCTCAAAAACATTTTACATACACTCTAGTCGTAAAAAATACATATTTGAAATCACTTAGACCTATAACTAATAGAACATCTGAATAAATAAACAATGTGCGAATAAATGCGCGAAGTTAACAAAGCAACAATTGAAAGATTACCATTGGGTAACATCACCTATATTTTTTATTACGGCTGAAATTCTTTGGGGCATAGTGTTAACCAAGTTTTGGCAAAAATTTGGTGTAAAACAATCCCATATTTTTTGAAGCTTTTGTCTCAGTTCGGTGATTGTACGAGCAGGATGTTGTCGTTGTCGTTTTTCATCTTGTGCCACAAAGTTTCAATAGGTGACAGATCTGGACTGCTAGAAACACATTTCAAAAGTGGTACATTATTTTCTTCTATCCATTTTATAGCCTTTTTTGAGGTATGGCACGCTGCACCATCTTGCTGAAACACAAAATCTTGGCCGGATGTCAAACATTCTTCCATCACTGGTAAAAGCGATTCTTCTAAAATATTTGTTTGTATCCACATTTCCATTAATAAAATGAAGTTTTCCTACTCCTTTTGATGACATACTGCCCCAGACCATAATGGATGCTGGAAATTTCAGACAGTCAACATGGTATGCTTCATTTTTTTTTGCGAATAACTCTACTGCGACTGTCACCAACACAAACTTCGAATCGGGCCTCATCACTCCATTGTATTGCACACCATTGTTGAGGTGTCCATTGTCTATGTTCTTTAGCCCATCTCAGACGATTTTTCTTTTGTAGTCGAGTTAATAGTGGCTTTTCTTTGGCCTATAAACAAGTTGTGCAACTTTAGGGTTTTTACTTCACTTTTATTTATAAGAAAACTTACCTTGCAAGTGCTAAATCCCAGTTTGTGGGCCTCTCTATGAGTTGAGGACCTCGAAATTCTCCTTCCAACAGCGCCACTCTACAGAGCACTTAATTGTAAATAATTATCACGCCTGTTTTATGTGGCTGAAGAACCGATCGATCGTGCGCGATCGAAAACGTTATAAAGGCAGCAGTGCACAAAATTTGTCATTTCAACGTACAACCACGTCTTTTGGCTTTAAATGTGCGTAAATCAATGCGGTTTTCATGCAGTATCGTTTATTTTATGTGTTTTTATGTGTCATTGAAGTCTAGCCCCCCTTCCCCAAAAACATCCCCAAAGTGGTGAGTAACACGAAAAAGTTATTATTTCGTGAAAATTATAATGAAAAAATGCGGTTTTTGCGTTAATCGCATAAGACAAACATACCGCAAGTGTCCTTGAGTGGACATGGCATTAACTCGTGGTTTACCTCCAAAAAAATATATACGTATAGATATAAAAAATTACTATTTTGAATCAGATCGGAAACCCGTAATTGTTGAAAATCACCTTACGCCCAAAATTTTTTCGCGGATATCTGGTCAACTTAACGTGTTCTAACAGCCCATGGTAGTCGTTTGCTCGAGCGGGGTCCGGAACATACTTTTTCAGGGTTAGGGTGGGTTTACATGCCGTTCGCGCAAAAAAAAATATATTTCAAACAAATTGGCTTACGCCCAAAATTTTTTTGTGCGAATCGTGTTTATTTAACATGTTCTAACATCCCACCGAGCCGTTTCCCCCAGGGGGGTCCGGAACACCCCGATCCGCACTTCGATCAGAATTCGAAAAAACACCTGTCATTTTTCAAAATCGCTTTACGCCCAAAATTTTTTCACTGATATCCGGTCAACTTAACGTGTTCTAACAGCCCATGATAGTCGATCGCTCGAGCGGGGTCCGGAACATACTTTTTCAGAGTTAGGGTGGGTTTATATGGCGTTCGCGCTAAAAAAATTATATTTCAAAAAAATTGGCTTACGCCCAAAATTTTTTTGTGCGAATCGTGTTTATTTAACATGTTCTAACATTCCACCAAGCCGTTTCCCCCAGGGGGGTCCGGAACACCCCGATCCGCACTTCGATCAGATTTCGAGAAAACACCTGTCATTTTTCAAAATCGCTTTACGCCCAAAATTTTTTCACTGATATCCGGTCAACTTAACGTGTTCTAACAGCCCATGATAGTCGATCGCTCGAGCGGGGTCCGGAACATACTTTTTCAGAGTTAGGGTGGGTTTACATGGCGTTCGCGCTAAAAAAATAATATTTAAAAAAAATTGGCTTACGCCCAAAATTTTTTTGTGCGAATCGTGTTTATTTAACATGTTCTAACATCCCACCAAGCCGTTTCCCCCAGGGGGGTCCGGAACACCCCGATCCGCACTTCGATCAGAATTCGAAAAAACACCTGTCATTTTTCAAAATCGCTTTACGCCCAAAATGTTTTCACTGATATCCGGTCAACTTAACGTGTTCTAACAGCCCATGATAGTCGATCGCTCGAGCGGGGTCCGGAACATACTTTTTCAGAGTTAGGGTGGGTTTACATGGCGTTCGCGCTAAAAACATTATATTTCAAAAAAATTGGCTTACGCCCAAAATTTTTTTGTGCGAATCGTGTTTATTTAACATGTTCTAACATCCCACCAAGCCGTTTTGGGCGTAAGCCAATTTGTTTGAAATATAATTTTTTTTGCGCGAACGGCATGTAAACCCACCCTAACCCTGAAAAAGTATGTTCCGGACCCCGCTCGAGCAAACGACTACCATGGGCTGTTAGAACACGTTAAGTTGACCAGATATCCGCGAAAAAATTTTGGGTGTAAGGTGATTTTCAACAATTACGGGTTTCCGATCTGATTCAAAATAGTAATTTTTTATATCTATATATTTTTTTGGAGGTAAACCACGAGTTAATGCCATGTCCACTCAAGGACACTTGAGGTATGTTTGTCTTATGCGATTAACGCAAAAACCGCATTTTTTCATTATAATTTTCACGAAATAATAACTTTTTCGCGTTACTCACCACTTTGGGGATGTTTTTGGGGAAGGGGGGCTAGACTTCAATGACACATAAAAACACATAAAATAAACGATACTGCATGAAAACCGCATTGATTTACGCACATTTAAAGCCAAAAGACGTGGTTGTACGTTGAAATGACAAATTTTGTGCACTGCTGCCTTTATAACGTTTTCGATCGCGCACGATCGATCGGTTCTTCAGCCACATCCTGTTTTTCACGATTATTCTTCTCAATGCTCTTCGGTCGGCGTTTGTGATATTACTTTTTTTCACATATCGTGGCTTAATATTAACTGAACCAGTTACTTTATATCTTCCAACAATATTTCTCACACTGTACCGCGATAAGTCTAACAAAGTTGCAATTTCTGAGTTTGATTTCCCAGAATTAAAAAAATTAAATATCAGTAACCGAATTTTCTCACTAATAACCTTTCCTCTACCCATTTTGAAAACCTTAACTACCCAAAACTATTTTAAACGTATTCTGACAGCTGTGATTAATAAAAACGATTGTCATGGCTTTTATTTTTCACAGCCACCTATGCGTTATAGACTTATTTTGCATTGAAATGAAAATAGGTTGATATGCTGTAATTGCAACATGTGTTATTTTTATGCTGCAAATTTGATGAGGGAGTGATTAAGTTGGTGTTTTCTACTATATATTATCAAAATATTCATTGTTAATATTTGAAACCTATAACACCCTGCTACATTTTTATTATTTGTGTTTGATAAGAAAAAAACTAAGATTTCAATAGTTGGGACAACTGAAGTGGGAAGGGGCTCGTATATAGGAAACTTGAACAGAGAATTAATTTTTTGACCTGGACAAAAAAGGGTTTATGGGCTGTCACGGTTTTTGTATTTCTGTTGCAAAATGAGACGCCCAGCCTCCATGAGTCTGTGTGATTTTTAATTTAATATGGATTTTAATTATCTTGTTATGACTGAAGCCCTGAATGTCAAAAAACTTATACGGTATGTGATGACACCAGTAGCTTCGACTTTGTTGAATTTCGCGGAGCCAGTTTTGGTTGATTTTTTTTTCTCTAATAAGTGAAAAAAGCCACTTAACTGCAAAAGTATAGTTTTATTGATTTCCTTTTCACTTTGTTCCAGGTGTTCGGTTAGTGCGCCCCTCCTATCCGCTCGCGTCCGCGTCGCGATGCATTCGCATCCGTTGGCCGCACGAGCCATCGCGCTGTTGCTCCTCCTTCAAGGAGGCGTAGTTTTCTCCGACGATGCCGGAGGCGGAGCTGGAAACAAAGTGGCCGGCGAAACCTCTTCGGGGCCGGTGTTCGTCAAGGAACCGCCCAATCGCGTCGACTTCTCCAACACGACCGGAGCAGTGGTGGAGTGTTTGGCCAAAGGCAACCCGCAGCCGGACATCATCTGGGTTAGGGCTGCGGACGGGACTGCTGTCGGAGATGTGCCAGGACTTAGACAGGTGAGTTCTTTATTTCTTTAATGATAATAATCCAACATTATTGGATAACGCTGTGTAAGCCAAGATACTAGGACTATAGGTACATTAAGTGATGATACTGATTTTTTTATTCAAATATGATTACAATTTTATATTGTTATCCTCAAAATGACTTCCTTCTGAAGCCACACAGTGCTGGAGACGGTCCTTCCACTCCTCATGGCAGTGCTGGAACTCCGATACTGGAATAGCCTTCAGCTGGTCGATTACAGCAGTTTGAATGTTTTCGAGTGTCCCAAAACAAGTTCCCTTGAGGTGATCTTTCAACTTCGGTAAGATAAAAAAACTCACAAAGACTCAAGTCAGGCGAATAAGCAGGTTCAGGAGGATGTGAAACAAAGAATAAAGGAATTTAAAATAGAAAGTCACCAGGAGAAGATCAAATACGAAATGAACTCTTAAAATATGGAGGTGATTCCTTGTACAACAACTGCAACTCCTTATTCACAAAATAATCACCACGAACAGAATACCGGATGAATGGAGGAGAGCGATCATACTGATGTTCTTCAAGAGTTTCCGTTGCACTGTGCCCAAGTCTGAAGCAAAACCTGATAGCAGATCGTTGCTTGAAATTGATGTAATTCATTTTTAGAACACAATAGGAAAAACTGTTCCACAAAAAATCGCTACGGCCAATCCAATTGACTCGAGAGAGTTCAAACTTGTACTGAAGGTGGATGTGTTGCCAGATCGAAAGCTACGTTGCCAGTATCATCCCTTAATTTGCAGATCTCGTGAAGTAGATATAAGCACACAACACAAAGCTGAAAAATTTGAAAAGGTAGTCTCATTCCAAGCTGATTGGTGATGATTCGATGATACCTGATGTGCAGTAACTGTATTTTCCTAATTTCATTTTTTTGATTAGTAATACGAAAATTTTGATATTCTCCGTGAGATCAATTCAAAGAACTTTAGAATTACTCATCTTTATACTGAAATAATCCTTACGCTAACAATGGCATCATGGCCATAACAGTATCTTTTAAGAAACTCTGTGTATTTTTATAAGCAAATACTTCTGCGTACTCAACAACCAACTATTTGGTGTAACGCTGAATTTATAGTACGTCTTAATCCACAAAAAATATTCCGGACAGGTACAAACGATTGCCTAACTACTAACTGGTTTGTAACAATAAATCACACTTGTTAGTGGTGTAAATAATTCTAAGCGTGACTCAGACGGAATCTCGCGTCCTTCTTGGAATGATGATTACATCTTCGTGGTACCTTAACGATGTAGCTATTCAAGAAGCCTGATTCCATTCTCAAAAGCTTTATTTCCAACGGCTTCTTCTTAAGCCAATACGTGCTGCAATGCATCGTAAAATGCAAAGCTCTTTGCTTTTTAACACGCCTTTATAAGCTTGGTCTGTATGTATGTAGGTGTCTTCCATTACCCTTATTAGGACCGCCAGGATTGATAAATTCTCTTATAGGTCCTCAGTAGGGAAGTAAGAGAGATAGAGCTAGCGCCCGATCTGCGCATGCGTGCAGTTTCGGATTTACTCTTTGTTGGTTCGCTTACTCGGCACAGCACAACGTAGGAAGATACGTTTTCAAGGTAGTGCATTCTCACCTGTTCATTGCGTTCACCGTGTAAGATCTGCAGATGGTATTCGGATTGAAGAACTTGATTGCTTTAAGTTAACAGGAAAAACCCTATGCAACAGTGCAGCTTTAAATGAAATTATTAGATTACGAAATGATTCGTAAGACATTTAAATACCACATGTCCACAAAAAACTAATTGATAAATCGAACTAAAAAATAAATAATAGCTTGAAAAAACTGAAAAACACGCTTTTATAGCTAACCGAATTAGAAAGTTGAAAGCAATTTTTAATTACACGATCATCGTGCAAGCATCCACACGAGCGTCCGTTGTAGTTTGTCAAATGGCAAGTATCAATATGACCCGGCGATTCCCTTTGATGTGTGATGTGAAAAACCGACAATTCACGAGTTGAAGGCGATCATAGACGATCATCGGCGAGTACAGCCGAGTATGCCCTCTACACGATCGTGCTAGCGCGTAATAGCTTGTAATCGCCGATTGTGAGAGGAGCCAAAAGGCGGCACCGTCCGCGAACAATTAGCAAACCTCGGAACCCTTTGGTTAAGGGTTCTAGCGCTCTCAAAAGATGTTCAGCACCACCCGCCCAAGCGACCATGAAGTTATCTGTTGTTTTGGATGTACCAGATATGTCACCCCCCCCCTCAAGCACAAAACGACTTCCAGACCTCGAAAATCTATCCAGAACTTTTGTGGCATCACACCGGATTCATGCTACATATGTATTGTTCATCGAACCGAAATGCGAGAAACAGTACTTGGACACCTCAACAGTACCACGCTGTTTGCCTTATAAGTGTGGCCTTGAGGTAGTGAAGCAAAACATCGGTCCGTTTGGTATTCAATTACTGTAAGAAAAATCCTGGAAGTTAAAAACGTAAGGTCCACCAGCCAGTTCGGAGAATATCAACTATACAGGGTGTCCCAGAAATAACATGCCAGAGTGACGCGAGAGGTAAATTGGCTGCATATCAATCAGATAGAATCGACATGAAGTTTTCTAGTTTTCGAGATATTGTCACTGTTAAGCTATTTCACAAAATACCCACTTTTTGCTCCTTTTTTGCCTGTTATGACTATAAAGAACTTTTTCCTGGCCTACCATTAAAATTGGGTTGAGACAACGAAGTATTTATTTTATTGAGAACCAGCACAGTATCCTGAAGGAAAAAAAACCTTACATTTTGTTTCAATGTGAAAAAGTTTAACTAATTACTGGGGAAAAAAATATACCAGACTGAATCGGCAAATGATCTCAAAAACTTTTTTTGCAACATCTACCCATTCTTTTCAAAGATGTGCCATTTGAGACAAGAAGAAGGATGTGGTTACAGAATCATTGGTGCACACTAACTACACTAGTGCAGTAAGAAAGAGACCCTAGAAGATAGAATGGTTGGCTAGGACCAATTTTGTGGCCCACACGCTCTCCAGATCTGAAACCTCTGAACTTTTTTACTGGGAATGCTTAAAAGATCAAGTCTATAGAAAGCCGATGAACTGCGTCATCGAATTCGTCAATCAGCATGCAATATTATCCGATTTAACCTTGAGAGTTTTAAAAGGACAATTTTTAAGAAGATGCAGGTTGTATTTAAGAGTAGACATTTTAAAAATCTCCGATGAAAATAATAATCATTTATTTCTGGCAATATTTACATTACAAGATGTTAATTTAATTTTCATTTAGAAGATGTTAATAGTGATTCCTAATTCTTTATTTGATTGGAATGTTGTAAAAATCAATGGGAATGAAAAAATACAATCAAATGTTCTGTTCATTATTTGAATGCCTGCTTACAACAATGAATAAAAAAGGCTAATGGAAAGCTGTTTTAGATATTTCTTAAAATAAAAAGCTATTACAGCACTTATTATTTTTCATTTGTAGTATTTCGCAAGTATTACGACTCCAATGACAAAAGTTAGAATTATTCAGTTTTTAGTTAAAATAACCAACAAATATTATAACATTTTTGAAATAGCAATAAATAGCTACTTTTTAATATCATTTGCTGATTCAGTCCGGTACACTTTATTCACAGTAACTAGTCAAACTTTAGTAAAGGTTTTTGTATTGAACCCAAATGTAATAATTTTTTTTAGCATACCGTGTTAGTTTTTAATGCATACACGGCTGTCTCAATCAACTATTAATTGCAGCCCAGGAAAAATCACAAGGTTACTCTTTATAGCCATAACAGGAAAAAAAGGAGCCACAAGTAATGATTTTTTGAAAACACCTAAAAGTGGTAATATCTCGAAAACTTGAAAACTTTTACTAAGGTCGTGTTGACTTTATGTGATTGACCTGAAGCCAAACTATCTCCTGTGTCACTCTGGCGTGTTACGTCTGGGACACCATGTATCTGCTTTATCTATTAAAATTGGTTCGAATATATTAATTTTGAAACATCACCTCTATCTATACCTCCAGCCTGTTATAAATCTTTTTGCAATTTTTAATAACATATTTCTCCTAGGTTCTGTACTATAGCAAGTATTTTGACATGCTGTTTTTCTAGGTCTTAGCTAACGGAAATTTGGTGTTCACACCCTTCAGAGCCGAAGATTATCGTCAGGAAGTCCACGCACAGGTCTACGCTTGCTTGGCCAAGAACACAGAAGGATCTATCACTTCTAGGGATGTCAATGTTAGAGCCGGTAAGGTTTTATAACTTGTTTGAGATAAACTATTTAAAATTGAACAATGTAAGTGATCAATGTCAAGTATGAATTGAGCTCTCTTATGTTGCTCAAGGTCTTTTACAACGCTTCATAGATCAGGCGTAAGGCGAAGTTGAATATTCAAAATACAGGTTTTTAGAATATGTATAATCAACCGAAATATTGAAGAAAACATTATACAGGGTGATTCAGAAGTCGTGACCAAAAATGAAACATCATACACAGGACTGCATTTTAAGGAAAGTCTTCTATCTAACATTTTCCCTCGAAGGGTTCATTAAAAAGATAAGAGGTGTTGGAAGTTTAAAAATAAAAAACATTTTTTTTAATATCTTATAATTTTACGAAATCAGTGCATTGTAGGAAAAAACACAAGCAACATTATTTGTAGCAAATTGAAGGCAAAATTCGAAAAATAACGCGTTTCGAAAAAAAAACAGTGTCGTACTATTTTTATTTGGAAAAATAATCCCACTAATCTCACGTATCTCCGCCACTGGTGCACGTTAATTTTAAGTAAAGACTTTTGAATATGGCGAATGCTTGGGTAAATCCACATACCAAATTTTAGTTCATTCCAGTTGATGGTTATCAAATAAAAATGTTTTTTATTTTTAAACTTCAACGCCCCGTATTTTCTTAATGAAACTCTCAAGGAAAAAACGTTACATCGAATTCCCCCTTAAAATGCAGTCCTGTGTATGATGTGTCATTTTTGGTCACGACTTGTAAATCACCCTGTATAAATGGCTAAAATTTTTAGCTCCAGGGATGTTGAATTTTTGAGGAAGAAATGTTTTTGTTTTAAATTTTCGAAGGTACTTTAAATACTATTTTTATTTTAGGCCTGGTATAAGAGGATAAAAATGAGATTTTAGTATAAACAGTTACTTCTATTCCGCCACCAATGACATTCCTGTAAACATATCGTGAGATATTTAAAAAAAGATACGTCACTGATTTTCAAAGTGAATATTTTGCGTATTTAGCTTGATTATTTCTTCATAAAAATCCTCGCTTACTATTTTCTCCTCAGATAGACTATTTTGATTAAAACGATAATATGGTAACTGCTACCCGTCAGATTGGAAAATATGAGTGGCATACCAATTTATTTGTAAAAAATATCATAAGTTTGAGGCATTGCATTTAAAAAATCACAACTTTGATATGTAGGTCAAAATTGGGACACCCTCTATAATTGCCAATATTTTAGAAATGTGCCCTCAAATGTCATGTATGACATGCCATAAATAGATTTTCACAAAATGTGTTTGCTTATGAGTAATATTACGTTCACACATGGATGGCCCACCATATATATATACAGGGTGACTTTGAAGTTGAGTCATTAATTTTCAGATAATGATTGTAGAAGGAAGATAAACCAAAATATGTGTGTAAAAATAAAAAAAAATTAAAAAAAAATTTTACCTTGTTTTATAAAGTATCCTCCCGACAAGTATTTCAGTGCGGACCTGTATTTGATGGTTGTACTACATTAACAAAGGCACGAGGGGTTGGTTGCACTCGCTTGGGAAACCGATCCGCATAAACATGTGCCATTTTTTATTTCGTTTGAGCCACGCAACAGACACCACGATTCACTGACACTGACTGTATACAAATGAATAAAATAATTGTAAAAACATCGTTCCAAATTCTTTCGCTTTTTTGTTTCCGATGCGATGAACCGATACGGTGGATTATATCCGTTGTCGCCAAACACGAGCACATAATACTATTATTGAGACAGGGCGGTACACAAACTTCCAAAGAGCTATAACTTTGTTACTTTAATTTTACCAGAAAAATGGTAAAGGAAAGAAACATTTCTTTTGATCAGATCTACTCACTGTTAAAATAAATGACTCAACTTCGAAGTCACCCTGTATATATATATATATATATTATATGATTCATAGTTATTGTTTGGCCGATTTGTAAGCAATATGACAATTTGTGTTGCACAGTCTAGAAAGTGTCGGCGTTACGTCCTTGATGTACGACAGCTCTGCAAAATTAATTCTGGAATTGGAGGGAACGTCTGTATTGTGTTAATTGTGATTATTATTATTGGAAGGGGTGGGATTATTGTTATCATTACTATGTGAAATCAGTGTAGCAGTAGGATAGCTGAACAAAATTTTGTTAATCAAGTATCTCGGATAACCATTATTGATGAATAGTGTTGAAAGTTTTCGTAAATTTGAAAGATGAAAAGTATTATCGGAAATGCCAATAACTCTGCTCTTGATTTGTTTTACCAAATTTATCTTTATCTCAAGTTTATGGTAAGACCTGAAATTCAGGAACCTGCCTGATGAGATGGGCTTTCTGTACCAGTCTACCAATAAAATATGGTTTCGGATTATTTTTGAGTCCAGGAATGGAACTGATTGATTTTATCATCCTCTTTTTCTATGGTGAATTGAATATATATAGGGATCATAGCTGTTAAATATCGTCCACAATACTGTCCAAACCTTCAATGGTTTCGTCTAGATATGTTTTATAAAGAATGGTTTATAGGGCAATACATATCTATAAAATAAAATATCACATGTTTGCAAGAACGGCACTGGTGGCACAATAAAATAGCGTTTTACTATAAAACATACCATTTCATATTTTTTTATGATATGCTAAAATTAAAAATGATATTTGAAGCAGTAATTTTCGAGGATACAAAATAACTACTGTTCTTAAACATTCAACCCGGTGGTAAAATGAAGCTATCCATACAAACTTTAAAACACTATCTGAGATATATTCTGAAATATCAGCACGTCAAAATTACAAATCCGAATCCTGCCGCTTTCTGTATACTTTTCTCGATACCCTAGGTCTAGGGATTTTTCTCTCTTTTACATACATACAAAGTAAAGTACCTTTCACAGTATTTGCGAAAAGTATTTTGACATATTTTGAATACATCTTGTTTCTAAACGAAAGAGCTAAAATAAAGTGGCATGATCTGAGTTATGTTTGCATAATTTATCCATTGAAAAAATTGCGTACTCTTATTTTGTTTACTCAACTTCTGTCAATCATTGAGCACTGAAAATGATGAATTCTAGAAATATTACCTTATAAATGTATTTGTTTGTGCAATTAAAGAATTTCCTTTCAAATCTAGCTTCTGGAGCAACAGAAACATCAAAGCTGTATTTCCTTTCAGACCAGTGAGGAAAATCAGCAAAAGATCTAAAAAGTTTCATAACCTAGCATAATACACTTTCCGCATTTTCTAAACATTCCACAAATAAAACTGGTCGGAACCAATTGCTATTCGTCACTTTTCGCTTATCTTGCGCGTAGAAAAATATACAGAAGCTGGTAAATACAAACGTGCAAATATTGTTCCGACAATCGCTATTGCACCATTATAGTATTTTTAGCTGAATGTTTACTAATTTTCTAGGAATACCAATGACCCGTTTTCAGTGGCTCTGATTATGGCAATTCTAACTTTTCATATGAATCATGGATACTCGGCAAATGAAGTAATTATATGGGAGGAGTATCATGGATAACAACAGTTGGTTATCATGTAATTGGTAATGGAATGATAATTCGGATTAAGTGATAATTGTTGTGTTTATGATTAGTTAATTAAATAACTAAAAATCGGAACGTTGAACCAAGTACAGGCAAATAATTAGTGACGTATGGTACGTACGAAACACAAATAAACTAATTCCTAGAAAACTAATGAGCTTTTGTAGATTTTTATTTTATGCTCGAATGGGAAAAGTACAAAATGATTTCTTTTATTGTTTGAGAATGGCCATCAGCTCGGCACCTAAAAGCGTGAAGTACTCAGCGACAGAGAAAAAATGCTACACTCACTAAAACTGTTTCTTTAATGAATTTTTATATACAATTAGATATATATATATATATATATATATATATATATATATATATATATGAGAGGAAGTAAGCACGTTTGCTGTATTTCGTTGGATTTCCTAAAAATGTGTCTCTTACCATATACTTTTTTTTACCTATAAGTTCATGTGTTACCATGTGAGTCAAAAGTCATGTGGCATGCACGAATGAACTGTCAAAGGTATGTCATTTATAGTCATGGATTCGTTTACAACAACGCATTTTGGTTATCCAAACTTATTACGAAAACGCTCTAAATATAAAAAATACTTTTTGCAAACTTCGCACTAGTTTTGGCCGATATGGACGCTCTATAGAGCCTGGAATTCGTTGGATTGTCAATCGTTTTGAGGAAACTCGTTCAGCTAAAGATCGTAGACCATACCAACATGCTCGTCCAACTCGTACTCGTGAAAACATAGCCGCAGTGAGTGAACGTGTGCGAGAAGATCCAACCACCTCGACTAGGCACCGTTCCCAACAATTGGGAATTAGTGAGACCACTTTACGCCGGATTTTACACATTGTTCTACACCTCCTTCCATACAAAATCCAACTAACATAAGAATTGAAGCCGGCACACCATCAACAGCGGCGTGCTTTTCTTAATTGGATGCTGGAAAGAGAAGACGGATTTTCTGATGATGCTCATATTCACCTCAATGGGTACGTAAATAAGTAAAATTACAGATTCTGGGGGGCTGAAAATCCACACCAATATCATCAACAACCTCTCCATCATGAAGACGTGACTGTTTGGTGCGGATTATGGGCTGGTGGCATCATTGGACCATTCTTCTTTGAAGATGCCGAAGAAAAGGCCATTACCGTCAACAAGGAACGTTATCGCGGCATGTTAACAGACTTTTTGTGGCCGCAATTGGATCGTATTGGTGCCGACGATCTTTGGTTTCAGGTGCAACGGCTCACACATGTCGCCAATCAATTGCCTTATTGCACACGAAATATCAAGACCGCATAATTTCACGAAATTCAGATGTCAGATGACCCCCGAGATCGTGCTATTTAACACCTCTTGACTATTTTCTTTGGGGATTTTTGAAAGGAAAAGTGTATACGAATGGTCCCCGGACAATTCAATACGTAAAGTGCAATATTCGGACTGAAATTGCGGCCATAGACCCGATTATTCTGGGAAAAGTCGCTGAAAATTTTGATGTTCGGATGTTGGCCTGTAAACGAAGCTGCGGTGGTCACATGACTGATGTTATTTTTCATGCATAAATGACATAAACCAACCTTCATTTATCAATAAAAAAATTTCACCTCGTAAAAAGCGTGTTGATTTTTCAAATAGAAAAAAAATAATAATAGATGATGCTCCCTGTGGATTCGTACCGTCGTAGAGGCATGCTTCTGATGATTCATATCTTCTTGGGGTATCTCATTCCAAACTGCCTATATCTGGTTAGGAAAAACTGCTAGGAGGATGAGGTAAAAATGTCACAATTCCTCACATCACTTCCCACAGATGTTCAATTGGCTGAAATCAGCTGCCCAGATAAATGGCAAAAATGAGGTTCTAGTATCTCCTGGATATACTGTTCTGTCCTTATCCTCTAATAAAAACTAGAGGTAACCTATCATCATATTTTATGGTGCTCAAAACCAAATCTCCTACTGTATGGTGCACGGTCACGTTCAACTGAAAACTTACATTGTGTCGCCTTCTGACCCGTATTCGTCCATCACGCATTCCTAGAACCAAGCTCATCACTTGAAACAAAGTTATACCATTCATCATCTCAATCTCTTAAATCTCGATTCTATTTAGCTGATGGATAACACTCGTCCTGAAGAAAGACGTAATGTAAGCTTTCATTTCAACGTCTCGTGCACCACACTGTAGAAATTATGATTTGGGGTACTATTACATCACAGGAGGTATGACGGCGCAATGGTATATACGGAAAATCTTGAACCTCATTTTTCTCAATTCTCCAAAAGCTTGGCAACTCTATTTCTCAACAATCTCATATTGCTAAAGCTATAAATAAGCTGACTCAATAATGCTCAAAATAGGTCTCAGGTTTAGGAACTTTTTGAAGTCAAGAACAAGCTTGGGATGAAATATCTTAAGAAGACATGAATCACCACCTCATAAACACGGCCCAACACATTACACTGGTGAACAAAATTAAAATAATTTTTTGTGACATGGACAAATCAAGGTGGTTATTATGTAAAACGTATCCTAAAAGCCGGAAATAGCATTCGATTTTTTCTATCACCCACGGTTTTCTTCTATACTGGTAAAATATAAGGATATGTGTGTAAGTAAAAGTACGTTTTTGAGATTTAAAATTTAGCCCTCCGCACACATAACAAAAACTGTTCGCACTATTTACACAATTTCTAGGCATTATCCATGAAGCTAGTTTCGATCCCAATACACTAAAAACAACACACCGTTTTAACAAAAATTAACAGTACTCAGAACATCTCGGTACTCTTCAACACAGAAAACGTAACTGACTTGGCTGCTATTACTCTACTAATAAACGCAATATACTCTCTAAACATAGAACATATAATAAACAGGAATAGACAGGTCTTAACATTATATATGTGCGTCATCGCATAAGCGCCGAGAAATGCCGCAATATGAGATGTTACGTATTGTAATTCATAAAAGTAGATGTTACCGAATATCTGTGAGTGATAGAAAAATTCTGTTTTTAGATTTGGTTTTACGGGTCTCAAAATACATAAGATACACCCAAAAATTGTCATGTCACAAATCCTGTGTTTATCAGTGTTATTAGGAAAATCCAGCGATACAGCAAATATTTTAACATCAAAATTAAGTCACTGTACATAAAATTTCAATCAAATCAAATGATTGTCAATATAAGATTGTTTCATAACAGATTTGGCAACGTCAACACCACAAACATCGTTTTATTGGTCCAATAGAGTAGTTAGCCTAAGCTTAGCGCATCTGAGGATGACGTTCTTATCTTAAAGCTTCTGGACTTTGCATATTTGGTGCATTGAATAAGAGCTTATAACAGTTTTTCCGCATCTGTTTTATACATCTTCAATACCAACTTTCTATACGTAAATAAACGAGTTTAGGGATTTAGCAGGCTTGATTGAATCTCACTCATTTTTATGCAAGAAAATTCTGAACATCCATTCGCCGAAGTAGCTTTTACCTTAATTGTTACTTAGCTTGAAAGTTACATTTCCTGCTCAAAATACGGCAAACTAAGTACCTCATTCGTTGAATCCGCTTACTCCATTAAAAAGTTAGAATTGCCAGATCTGGAAGCGTAATTATCAGCAGGAACTGCATCGGTTCCACGACACACAGGGGGAACTTTTTTAATGAAAACGCTTATTGTGCGGATAGTAGAAGCTGTTATCCGGTTTCATTTAATCCATTATCATAATCGAACAGGCTGTGCCAGATGAATTGTACAGTCCAGTCGCAGAAGGCCGTGGAGCCGGTGCAGTCCCCCAATTTATCGGAATGCTTCTCTTTCAGCAAACAAAACAGGGCCGTAGTCAGCATTTTAGTACGTACCATAGAATTGTTTCTGTTCTATATTTCTGTACTCTCATCTTAGTAAAAAGAACTTTTATTGGATAGTTTTCGAGTGATGTTCAATTAAAGTTATCCAATCTAGAGAAAAGTAGCACCTCAAATACTAGGAGATGAATCAAGCAGTTTGCCTGGGTGGGAGTAGTATGTCAAATTCACATTGTATATAAAAATTGAATCAAGTAGATTTTCTGGGTATTTCTTCTGCAATGGTATAAATCTATAGAAAATTGTCATTAGCGAAAAGTGAAAGCAAATACTCTAAAAATCATTTTGACTACGCCCTAACGTGAAACATTGAAAAGCAAAATTTGAGATTTTTTAAAAGTTGATGATTCCTCCAAAAAATTTTTCATTGCGCCCAAGAGTTATCAGAAACTGAAAAAACACGAATACGTGTTAGTGACGTTCAAAATGTTTAGTTCTAGCTCATAAATCCACTGCTATTTTACAGATGTTCAGCCTTGGTATTGCCATAGAGGGGCCAAGTACTGTCAAACAGATGACAGACAAACAAACCGAAAAATCGACGGAAATGCGTAACTATAACAAAGTACAGGTTCCCTTTGCGAATAACGATGGCTTTTGGAAATTGATTTTACTTTACTAATTTTTAAAAAGCTTGTTAAACATTATTACTTAGCACTTCTTAAACTTATCTGATCTGATAAAAGTCGTGACACACTGAATTTTGTACTGAAGCTGTGGTGTGTTTCTCTGTTCTGTTTGAATCTGACAGAAATTGCCCCTTGCCCGTATACTTTCGAGGGTGAATTATAATAAGTTTATCGGATAAACTTATTGTGCACTTGAAATACATTCTTCATTGACTTTCAACAATTTTGACGGGAAAACTTTTCTACTAATTCGTGCGGGATGTCCAAATACCATCATGTTCAAAATGACACCAGATCCCAAAATAGTTGAAGTGCTACTGAATAATAATCGAAATCTTCAACAAACCTCAAAGGTAGGTGATTCAACAAATATTCCACACATTTTTTTCAGCATTACCGGAATTGTTTTTAATGAGATCGAGTCTGACTACGGCCCTGGTTCCAGGAAACCACCACAATGACACCAGTGTAGGATGTGCATCAAGGGAACGTGGAAACATCGAGAGTGTGTAGTAATATTGATTGGAACTCCCCATGTATGCGTGATCATGCGTCTAGTGAACGCATTTCCATCACCATAGACTAATGGGAGTGGCAAAATGATACACGCGCATTGATAACATCACATACCTTACACATTGATAACTTTTTTAATTACCTGCATCACCGAATCAACGTGGTCTATGTGACGCATAGATAAAAATAGAGATTTGGTTTCAAGTATAAACACTCTTATTTTCGCTAACTTACTGATGATATAATAACATAGATATTACGAAATATCATACTCACGAGCTGTATAAATGAAGTAGTCAACTATAGCATGCAATGTTGACATCTGTCTAAGAGGATGTTGACTACTTGTAGTTTGCAATAGTTGTCGTACTTAACTTCTCATTTCTAATAAAACTATATGTAATACAATCAATGCAGTATCAGAATGATCATTCATATGTATATCGGACTGCCATACGTATTTTTTGATGACTTGAGATTCTGCCTCTGTATACATATTCAGTCTATGGACATTGACTTTTCGAATTGGGAAAGATATACTTTTCTTACTGGTACCAGTGATCATACCATAAATGTGTATTGTCCTCAATATATGGCTATCATGAATAATGCATATGAAAGCTACATAACAGATGGTTTTTTGGCGCCTCACGGTATTTTCATTCAAAGATATTCATGATCTCGTGTGTGGATGGATACATTATTGAACTTGGACGTACATTTATGTGTTTATTATCGACGCTAACACACTGTGTAATATTCTATTCTATTTGCATATATGTTCGATACCGCTTGTTTTAAAAATGCGTTATATCGAAAACATTTATAAAACAAATATTATACAGGATTCTTACAGATAATTATCATAATACGTTCACGTCTACTCACAATTTCAATTATTGTCAGTAGCTTCCCAGTATGAGTATAAGTAGATTTTTTTCAATCTGTAACAAACTTTTTTCAATTCCGTTTTGTAACCACGTTACACTAATGTCTATTCCATGCTTTGCCCAGAAAAAAAATCGATGTGGTTATTTTCAACTCCAGTTAACCTGAAAACAAGATGAAACTATTTAAAAGTGCATACAAGAGCTTTTGTGAATAAGTGGAATATGTGTATTTATAAAGTACTATATTTAGAGACGCAACAAGAAATATAATGCATGAAATGAGAAACTGTTCATTTAGAACGTGTATTTTTATTTTAGCTGACACATAGGAATAATATCGTCATTGGGGTTTTTGATGTCTTTCAATGTGAATCCGATAATGTTCTTGAAAGCTAAGCCGATATATCATTCAACTTGATCGACACTGCTACAAAAGCATTGTGGTTAACAAGTACCTATCAGCATATTTCAACTATAAACTTTTCTTGAATGCGTCTGCTTGAAAAAAATGGCTACATATATCAAAATGATCGACGACATCTTGCTAGAGGATGATTGATTTATCGAAATTCTTTAGGACTAAAATTCATACCGTATTTCTATGGTAGGGACCACGAAACCAAATACTTTGATGCTCAGTATATATGTCGTGGTTACATCGTAAAATATCCCATTTTATAGAGTGAGTAGAGTATTTTTTTACCGCCAATGCTATGACGAGCTTAAAGAAACTTTGTTATTCCGATTTTTGGACTTGGAAGTAGCGGTCGTATCGGCCAGTATTAGGGCACCGGGGCTGCTATGAAGAGGTCAAAGAAACTTTGTAAATCTGATTTTTGAACAGCCTAACGTTAGAACTGGGATTCTCGATAGCTTAGGGAAAGAGGAGCAGTAGTATCGGCCAGTTATGGGTGTACGAAGTTGTATACGGTTAGGATGGGAGACCGAAGTCAGGCGGGTCTGTCTGGCAGGCACATGGCGCGAAAAAATGAGAAGCCTAGTGATTGAGATAAATATAAACCAGCAAGATTTTTTTGCCTGAGAAGTACTATAACTAAACTTTCCCTGGATTGCAAATAGATGAGAATAATATTGAGATAAAAAACGTCATATTTTGATGAGCCTGCCTAGTAGTCTAGTTGAATACACAATAAAATACATAATAATGCTTATGTATCTGTGCTACTGTAAAGTTGGAATTGATTATTAAAATGTCGACCACAATAATCAAACGACTATGCCAGCCTTATCACTCTATCTATAGAAACAATAAGAAATGTAAACAATCTCATTCACAGAAACTCGCGCTCCAAATATTTGATGTCATAAACAACAAATACACGCTTCTCTAATTTTTTATGACTACTGATAAGTTTATTTTGAGATGATCATTAACAGACACTTAGCAGTACTGGGTGTTTACTCGAGACGCCGCGTATATTTGTTTAACGGTTTTTTTTATTCGGGCGAGCTGTTTAATGTTTATGTTTGAATTTCGGATTACGAAGGTTCCTCTATAATAGATGAGTGAGTTTAAGAGGAAGTAATGTAACATCGGAAGTTGCATTAATATACTGCGTAGGTACTGTTTGCAATTCTTCTCTGATGATTGCTTTAGTTGTAATTAAAGATCAAAGCTTCTTTCCGTTTCTATAATGTATAAAAAGATAGAAATTACTGGACAAATTGTCACATTTTTCACGGGGCATAAATACCACAATGCTTTACGGCTATAGTTTTTTTATGTTGTTGATATTGAAAAATGCAAAAAACGATAAAAAAGCGAAACATATATCGAATTCATTCACCATGAAATCACACAGCCTTATGTATGAAAATATAACAATATAAAATAATTCTATTCAATATTTAAAGGTACCCCCTAGAATAAAAAGTGGTCCAGACATGTGTGATTTAAATGAATATGATGAAGGATCAAGTTGCATGTGGGCTTTGAATCATATCAATTTATTTTTTGTTCACTGTGACATTAACAATACTCGTAATAAGGATATCTTTGTAATATGATACAGAAGATCATGTTTCTGATGGTTGATGCCAGTTAAGCTCTATTTACTTCACATTTTTATTCTTTGTGTGGTTTGAGCAGCATAAGGCATTAATTAACGTCATACGACTGCAAAATATATATATATATATATATATATATATATATTAAGTGACATATAAATCCGAACACCCAGTTTAAATGGTTTTATTTTAATTAAATTTTGTATAAGTACTTAATGAAGCATAATAAGTGAATGATAAAAATTTCAAAACTTTTATTAAAATAAAACCATTTAAACTGGGTGTTCGGATTTATATGTCACTTAGTATACTAATGCAAGCGCCCATTTCGCACAAGTTGAGGAGCATGATTTAAAACGGTTTTTTGTAAAAGAAATGGATTAAGAAAATATGATTGATGATGAATTCTAACGCTTATGTCAGACTAGGAATAAAGGTTTTGTTTATGAACGATCTGAATTAGTTTCTCAAATGATGTCAAGGATTTTGTGTTAATGTCTTTGTAGCATGTCATCAAGGCTCCATGGAATGTAGCGTCCAAATAATTTTAAATTGGAAATAATGCCTTCTTAGATTGTACTTAGTAATAATTATTACAGTTAATAATTATCATCCACACACGAGTCATGCAAAATATCTTGTTAATCTGTAAAAGTTTTTGACAACTCATATTTGTATGACTAATTTTTTCTATTATAATCCAGTGGTCGCACAATTCTACGACACAGACGTAAACAAGGAGTACGCGATCCGAGGGAACGCCGCCATTTTGAAATGTCAAATACCGTCATTCGTTGCCGATTTTGTCAGTGTCATCTCTTGGCACACGGATCAAAATGAAGTTTTCTATCCTGGAGCACCAGATGGTACTTTTTTATAAAATTAAAATACATCGATGGATTGAGTTTACGCTGTAACGCATGAAAGTGATGCAGGCGTGGTTAGGCACAGTCTTGGCCAATATTAAACATTTCTGACGTTTCTGAAGCTACTCGAAAAACCGGATACTCTTACAACAAATTCAACGATTTTTGAAAAACCACTTCATTTTGAGGATTTTGGAAGTAATATTTTGTTCTAGCTAGACTGCAAGACTTTTCTGGCCCTCATAGTCTGTCGTGCTCTTTTGAATACGTTATGGTTATTGCTTATCATCCAGCAGTTATCAGTTTTCAGATCTTTCACATTAACCAGACTCACCTCGATCTGTCTAACATTTTATGTATGTTTAAAAATTCACGGAAAACCATACTGCAGTTGATCTAACAAAACAAAAATTACGCTGGTGTCAATTTCGGACAAACATTTTTAATTCCATATAAATGTACCTAGATAGCTATTTGAACAGTATTTGTACATTGACTAGCTTCCTCTATGACTTTTGCTAATGTAAAATGTTACTTTCGAAACGAGGCGAATCGTCAAGGCTAAAAATAGGCCAAAGGATCACTCCTTGAAGTTTCGCCCACATCTTGTATATGGCAACATCGCAGCTCTATAAAGGTTGAAAAAGCATAATATAGCTGTATTAATACATAGTTGCTTTCTTCTAGTAGAAATTAAAAAATAAGTCAAAAAATTCGTATCGTCTTTCAAACCTATTTCTTAGGTTGTTGTTAGTATATTTTAATTCTATTAGAATTAAAGAAGAATAATTACGAAAACTTTCATAAGCATGATTCAGTTTTTCTGAGTCTCGATGGCGATTCAATACATCAACTGGAATGGATCATGACATTGATTAACCTATTCTACTTGAGGATGTCTAGTTAAATGCTGTATTGCTGCATCCAAAAAATTATCCGAGTTAAAATGAGATATCGTATCTACGAGAATTTTCACATTAGTATACTCTCAAATTTTCAAAAATATCATATGCCTACTTTTCGAGAAATCTATCGACGGTGTTCCCGATGCGACACCCTGTATGCTTGCATACACTCACATAGGTAGCGCCATCTATGAGACACTAACCTCTTCAAAGTACATATCGTGAATACAGAAACAGCTGAGACAAATTCTCATAGATCACGCTACGGTATCTCATTTTATCTCGGATAAATTTTGGACGCAGGAGCGTTAATCAATGATCATGAT